GGCTGCCTATTTAGTCTATGGCCGAATCTCTGAAACAGCTGAATCTTTTCTGAAGCTTTTCCGAATCAATTTAGATGCTTCCAATTAATTCAGAGCTTTTAACTGGTCTCCCGATTGGATTCGGATTCAGAGATTCAATTCCCAAATCAGGCAGAATCTCCTTCATATCAAATCAGCTCCAGAAGCTTCACACAGCCCTGGTAAGCAGGGAAATGGGGGACCAGGAGGAAAAGGATGTAGGCAGAGGAGGCCATCTCATTCTTCCTGGGAAAGTAGTGCAATCAGCTAGTCACCTCAGGTGTCTGTACACAAATACACGGAGCCTGGGAAACAAACAGAAAAAATTGGAAGTCCTTGCACAGTCAAAGAACTGTGACATGATTGGAATAACAGAGACTCGCTGGGATAGCTCGTGTGACTGGACCATGGTCATGGATAGTGTGGAAGAAATCAAACTTCGCGTTGTGGTTGAATCAGAACTGACAGAGCCAGCTTTTCTTTATTTAGGGCTATACTGGGATCACAGGGAGGATTTCATACAGCAAGGGGAATCACCCACTTGTCTGTTTCAAAGGAATCCTCTCCCTCTCTAAGTTTTCAAGCATTTTTATACTTAAGACAGATAAAGAGAAAAAAATATGACTTTGGAGAAACTAAAACAAGTTTACTTAATTGGACATCTGTGCACAGGGTAATAAGACATGCAGGATTCCTTATTTTAAAACATGTAACTGAAATAAACAGTATCAGCTCTTCTGGTCTTTGTCTGTTTTTCTAGTCAAGTAGGCCAGAAGCCGGACTAAATTTATTACCACAATAGGTACACACTGTTCAGGAAGGACAGGCAGGGGAGGAGAGGAGGAGGAGGTGCACTGTATGTAAAAGAGCCATATGATTGCTCAGAGCTCCAATATGAAACTGGAGATAGGCCTGTTGAAAGTCTCTGGGCCATTGATCTGGGAGAGCAACAAAAGTGATGTTGTAGTGGGTGCGTGCTCTAGACGAACTGAGGTAGATAAGGCTTTCCTCAGACAACATCCTGAGATCTACTAAAAGGGCAATACAGCAGTGCACAAGCAATCCAGGAAAGGATTTTTGGAGAACAATTGGAGAGGCCAACTCGGGGCTGTGCTCTTCTTGACTTACTGCTTGGAAACAGGGAAGTATTGGTGGGGGATGTAGAAGTGGATGGCAGGTTGGGCAACAGTGACTACAAGATAATTGAGTTCAGGACCCTGACAAAAGGGAGAAACAAGAGCAGCAGAGAATGGACCCTGGATTTCAGAAAAGCAACAAGAGGAACATCAGGAAAAGTATGGGTCCCTTAATGGGGAAGTGACAGGTGATGAGGAAAAGGCTGCAGTACTCAATGAGTTTTTTTACCTCAGTCTTCACGGGTAAGGTCAGCTGCTGGACTATTGTATTGTGGAGAAGGTGAGCAGCACTCAGTGGTGAAAGAACAGGTTAGAGGCTATTTAGAGAAGCTGGATGTGTACAAGTCCATGGGGTCAGATGCAGTGCATCTGAGGGTACTGAGGGAGTTGACTGATGTGATTGCAGAGCCACTGTCCCTTGTCTTTGAAAGCTTATGGTGATCAGAGGATGTCCCAGACAATTGTAAAAAGGCAAATATAGTGCCCATCTTTAAGAAAGGGAAGAAGGAGGATCCAGGGAACTACAGTCAGCCTCACTTCAGTCCCCAGAAAAATCACGGAGCAAATCCTCAAAAAATCTATTTCTAAGTACTTGAATAAGAAGGTGAATAGGAACAGTTAGCATAAATTCACCAAGGACAAGTCATGCCTGACCAACCTGATTCTCTTTTATGATGAGATAACTGGCTCTGTGGATGTGGGGAAAGCAGTGGATGTGATATACGTTGAATTTAGCGAGGCTTTTGATATAGTCTCCCACAGCATTCCTGCAAGCAAGCTGAGGAAATATGCAGTCGGATGAATGGACTGTAAGATGAATAGAACACCAACTGGATTGTCGGGCTTAAAGGGTAGTAATCAATGGGTCAATGTCTAGCTGGCAGATGGCATCAAATGGAGTACCCCAGGGGTTGGTCCTGGGGCTGGTTTTGTTCAATATCTTCATCAATGCACTGGAAGATGGCACAGAGTGCACCCTCAGCAAGTTTGTAGATGACACCAAGCTGTGGGAAGCAGTAGATACATTGGAGGGTAGGGCTAGGATTCAGAGTGGCCTAGACAAATTGGAGGATTGGGTCAAAAGAAATCTCATGAGGTTCAACAAGGACAAGTGCAAAGTCCTGAACTTTGGAGAAAACAATCCCATGCAGTGCCACAGTCTGGGGACCAACTGGCTAAACAGCAGCTCTGCAGAAAAGGACCTGGGAGTTGAAGTGGACAATAAGCTGGATGCAAGGCAGCAGTGTGCCCTTGTTGCCAAGAAGGCTAATAGATTACTGGGCTGCATTAGTAGGAGCATTGCCATCAAATTGAGGGAAGTAATGAGTCCACTCTATTCTGCACTGGTGAGGCCACCTCTGAAGTACTGTACTCAGTTTTGGGCCTCCCACTGTAGAAAGGATGTGGACAAGTTGGAGACAGTCAAGTGGAGAGCAACAAAAATGGTGAGGGGGGTGGAGAACATGACTTATGAGGAGAGACTGAGGGACCTGGGCTTATTTAGTTTGGAGAAGATAAGACTGAGGAGGGATTTGATAGCAATAGCTGCCTTTTAACTACCTGAAAGGTAGTTCCAAAGAGGATGGAGCTAGATTGTTCTCAGTGGTGACAGATGACAGAACAAGGAGCAATGGTCTTGAGTTGCAGCAAGGGAGGTTTAGGTTGGATATTAGGAAAAACATCCTCATTAGGAGGGTGGTGAAGCACTGGAACAAGTTACTTAGAGAGATGGTGGAATCTCCATCCTTGAAGGTTTTTAAGGCCGGGTTTGACAGCGCTTTGGCTGGGATAATCTAGTTGGGGCCGGTCCTGCTTTAAGCAAGGGGTTGGACTAGATGACCTCCTGAGGTCCCACCCAACCCTAATGTTCTGCGATTCTAAGAACCTCCTCCCAGTCCCACCGGCATTCTGTCAGATACAAATACAGTGCTCCACCTGCCTGATCTCAAAGCCCTTACCTTGTGCTGAGGCAGTGCATGGGGGGGTGGGATTGGTATAAACCAACTGCCTGGCCCTGGCAGCTCAGCTGCCCCCAAGGCCCAGGTCCACCTGCACATGCCCAGCCCAGGGTCAGGGAGCTCAGGCATGCAACAATGTCTCGGCTCTTGCTGTGCCTGCATGTGCACTGCAGTCAGGGCTTCTTGCACAGATGCAAAGGGAACAACTGCTGGAATCCCCCATCTCCCTCCCTCCCTGGCTGGCTAGGAACCCTGCTTCTCCTGGCTGTGCACTGCCTTACCTCTAGGTACTGCCAATAGAATTGCAAGGACAAATGATTGACATGCATTTCCACCAATGAATTGAAAAGCAAGACTTTTTCTAGTCTGTTCCTCATTCAGGAATGGACAGGGGGCAAAGGGTTTAAAAACAGGACTGTCTGGTATAAAACAGGACCAATGGCTGCCTTAGGCTAGACAGGGCCCTGCTACGAGTGCTCCAGGTGCCAGATTGACCCGACTGGCAAGATCCGGCCCACATTTGCACCAGGCACTGCCCATCCAGCCTGGTGGACAAAAAAAAAGTTGAGCACAACTGTCCTACATTCATTCATATGTAAGGACCCTAGCTCCAAAGGGTGGTGGTGACAGTCCCCTTTGATGCTAGGAAATCAGAAAGACATACTTATAATTATATCTCATTTAATTAATTAACACTATAATAATATGGTAACCCTTAGGCTGCCTTTTCCCAACCTTATGGATTGCTGCTCTTCCCTGTTACAACTTAATTTTAAGCATAGTGAAAGTTATTTGGAGCAGGATTCTAATTGGCTTCTAATAGGAGCAAAGCAGCCTTTGAAGATGGTGTAAATAATCATTCTTTATTTTAGCACAATCTAGGCAAATGAATAATAGTAAGATCTGATTGCATTATAGTATTGAAATAAATTTGTTTTAGAATGTTTCATCAATTTACTGACTTAAAGATAACTATATGCAATAAATAAATATTGTACCCCTTCAGACCTGAGAAATATCCTCCTTGTTGTCCCAAGGAAAAATTGAAATACTTTGATAAAAGCTGGGACATAAGCTGAGCGCCTTTATTTGTACTTTATTCATCAGGCTATTGATTGTGAACTTATGCTTAATCAACATTCCCTTTGGAATATAAGAATATTAGCTGTTTTCCACCGCTTACTCAAAAGCTTGTTTTTAGTTTCAGTCCCTTGAGATTTTTTTACCTAGACATTTTTTATTTTCAAAATTTGGCATATATTTGTTCAAAACTAGTTCAAACCGCTGGAAGTAATTATGCAAAAATATCTGCCTCAAACAACTTTAAAAAATCACTTCCAAGCTGGTTGCAGTTTCTGCTAAGATAACAACAGGAGGAGCAAACATGGCAATAAGTGAGATAAGGAAGCAAACGTAAAAGTGGACAGTACAGATTAAGGCATCATTAGCACGTAGCTAGTGGCTGTAGCCTGATCTACACCATTGGTGTCCCCAGGGCTGGATGAGTGGTACATGGCTGGGGCATGGGCCAGATCTGGAACATGAGACCCCATTATCTGGCCTGTGGGTCTGGAATTTGGTGGTGGCTGGTCCTTGCTGCTGGTCCTCCTGCCATCAAGTGTCTGACCCCAGGGGCAGCCCCATGGGCTAGTTAATACAGCGCTGCACCCCGCAGCTGGTCTGCAGGGCTCCCCATAGGTCCAGAAATTTTGCAGCAGGACAAATAGCAGCGCTGCTCGCCACTGGGATGGATGACCCAGCTTCTCTAAATGACCATGGTTACTATATTTGTTAAAATACTATGGTAGAATTATCAAGCTTGTGTCTTTCATTTTTAATAGGTTGCTTGTAATTTGCCTCATGTAAAAAAGTTATATTCCTGTTTTAGGAAGGAACAACCAAAATTGGAAGAATTGATTCTGACCAGGAGCAGGATATTGGTAAGACAGAGAGATAATAAATGATTTTATGTTGTGTTCAGTTAAAATCCTGTTGCTTTTACTTGTCTGTTTTAACAATCTAATAATAATTTTTGCTTACCAGCAGTCTTTGTGTGAGAGGTTAAGCAGAAGGCAATACAAATTTATAGGCTTTTTATAACCTAAACTTCTAGAGTTAACTTTTGTTGAAGCTTCAAGAAAACCATTAAGGTAATTGGGACCTATTTTGGGTTTTCTCATGGGAGTAAATTTACATTAGAGATTGAAAATTACTCTAATCAAGTGTCTCAAATTTGCTATATTCAGTCTTGTATTGGTGCCAAAAAAAGCTCTTGTGTGGTCTGATGTATGTGTTTCCAGACTGTCTGGCCGTGACATACTGGATCTTAATCGCATCATTCTGATTATTCCCTTCCTCTCTGAGTTCATCTCTGGCATTAATTATAGTAGCAACAATTTGAAAAACTGCTAAAACGTAGTAGAGATTGACAACTACTTATACTTTAATTAGAAACAGCCTAGAATCTTGACTTCGGTTACATTTTATGTTCTGGCTCTACCAGTGAGAGAAATATAAGCTATAAAAATAATGTAATAACTGAAAAAAAATCATAGTAATTTGCAGATCTGGTAGCTTTTAACTTTCAAAGGTTAGAAACATTTGGGAAGAACAGTGCAAATACTGGCAGACTAGGAAGCTTTTCTAAGACCTTGTTTTGGGCTCTTAATCAGAGGGGAGATATTAGATCCTTACACTGTATGTGGTTCTTTGACCATAATACTGTGCATTTAGGTCACTTAAATACAGTGGGTTCTTTGTTTTAGACAGTGTAATGGGGATCAGAGTTTGAAATTAAACTTAAAATGATCAAGTAAAAAGAACCTACAATTTGTAGTTTTGCAGGGTCAGTGGATTGAAAGGGAACATTGCATTATCAGCAACAATTGTGGGATTGTGACACTGCAGCCAGTCCAGGGAGCACACTGCACAGTAAATGGTCAGGAAGTCACCAGTGCTTGCCGACTGTCACAAGGTGAGCTTTGCCATTCTTTTCTGAGGTGTTATTGCCAATGATATAAGTGTAACTGGAGAAGAACAGTAAAACAGTATGAAAATGACTATTGTAAATCCATTCCTTAGCATCCTGTTTCTATTTCTTTAGAATTTAAATGTCAGAAATGTACAATTTTGTTGTGATTATAAGTTGACCTGCTTATAAGTCACCCCCATGTTTTCAGGTTCAATTTTAGGAAAGGTATTTTTTTCCCTGAATAAGTCTGTCACTAGATATAAACATATTGAACTTCTGTTGCTCTTAGAAAATCCCTCAAGAGAATCAGATAATCAAGAAAAGGACCCAAAGGGTTAAATGTACAAAAAATACTGCAAGTACAGGAATCAAGACTGGTGTGTGGGGGGCAATTTTAGATGTAACCTGAGCGCAACTTTGCTCTTTTCTTCGGAGGAGATGCTTAACTGAAAATGTGGAAGGGTTTGTCTTTGACTGTACAGTGTGGTTGAACTTACCTTGGACTACATTTTCTATTTTTGTGTATATTAATTACTGGAACTAAATTATTTCCTCTTCTTTAGCCCTTGTCTGTGGGATAAAGTTGTCTGTTATATTTTAGCAGTTGAATTAAAACAAATTTCTAATAATGGGTTTTCTATTTCCCTCCAATGTTGCAGTATAATGCTGGGAACAAAACTCACAAGGTCTGAAGAATTAAGCTGTAGGTCCCATGAGTGCGCATCAAATACCAGATGTTTGATGAATTGCACTTCTACAGTTTTTCTTTTTCTTTACAGGGGCTCTTGTTGTCTTGGGTAAAGTTAATAAATTTAGATTCAACCACCCAGCAGAAGCTGCCATTTTACGACAGAGAAGATTGGTAAGTCATGAAAGTTTGTATTTTCCTTTCCTACATTTTTTTTCTCAGTTTTGCTTATTATTTCATTTTACAAGTGAATTTGAAAATATAAACTTGCTTCACAGCCATTTATTCATGTCCCTCACTTTCCTCTTCTAATAGTCTATAGCAGGGGTGAGCAATTATTTCAGCAGGAGGGCTGCTTAATGTGATTTCATGAGCTGTTGAGGGCTGCACACACAAAATCTTTCAGATGTCATTTAAACAAATTATAGATAAAAAAACAAATTGTATACTAAAAATCAGATGTCTACTATAACATATTTTAATTTTATTTCAAAAAATATTTTTTGTCCTGATTTATATATTTTTGAGTAGTGATAGACAGACAATTGCGTAATAGCTCAAAATAAAACCTTACTCTTGCATACTGTGGGGGGGGATGAGGGTGTGTGCATGCAGGGTGGGGTGGGTGTGTGTGTGGGGTGTGAGCATGTGGAGGGGTTGGAGTGGGCTGTGGGGAGAGTAGGCATGGGGGTAGGTGTGTGGGGGGTGGCCATGGCAGGTGTGTAGGAGAGCATGGGTGTATGCATGTATATTGGGGGCTGCCTGGGTGCTAGGTCCCGGGAGCCAGCCAAGGATAGGAGAAGGGAGGGAGGGAGGGAGGGAGGGATGGTGGGGCAGGGATTGTGTGCAGCAGAGCTTGCCCAGATGGTGCAGTGCAAGTGCAGATGCAATCCATCCCCCCACCCATCTGGCTCATGACTGCCCTAGCCATGCTCCCCATGGGGCCAAGACCCACCCACTCCTGCCTGGGGCAGCCCACACCATGCTCCCACCCGTGCCCACCAGTCCTGGCCCTGGCCAGTGTGCACAGCTTCCTGGCAGGGGTGCTCCCAGTCCACCCAGGTACCGCTAGACTCTCTCCGCCTCCAGCTGCAGTTCCTCCTGCCCCTGCTGCACTGCTCTGGGCAACTGGCAGTATAGGGGGCTGCGCACTGAACATCATATGCTGAGCCAGGCTGGGGGGAACCTGCAGCCAGGCTGCTCCTGCCCCAGTGCATGAATCTTCCACTCCAGCTCCCAGCTGCTTTCCACCGACTCAGCCGCCTGGTGTGATGAGCAGCCAACTGCAGGCAATGGAGTGAGTGGAAGGCAGCAGGGAGCTGAAGCTGGAGCTCCGCACACTGGAGCAGGAACCACCCAGCTGCAGTTTCCCCCACCCCCCCCAGCTGGGTACCTGGTACTGTCACACATCTCCACAGCTGCCATCACTCCCCCAGACTACCTGCTGCCTGGAGCGGTGCAGCAGGGGCAGAAAGAGGAGGAGGAAGAAACTGCTGAAGGTGAGGGGAGCCAAGCAGTACCAGGATGGCTGCAGCTGCATGGGGAGCAGCCCCATGAGAAAGCTGCACACACTGGCCAGGGGTGGGGTGGGCAGAAGCGCAGTGTGGGCTGCCCTGCCTGGGAGCGGGTGGAGCTCAACCCCATGTGGAACATGGCAGGGGCAGCCGTGGGCCAGTTGCAATCAATTGGGCGGTGCCTACCACGGGCTGCATCCAGTCAGTTGATGGGCTATATTTTGCCCATCCCTGGTCTGTAGTGACTCTAAACCTTTATGGGCAGACATACTGCTGCATCTTGTAGATGTGCTTAGCCAAAGAAGATGCAGACCCCCTTAATACTTTAACATTTCCTTGTTTGTAGTTATGACTTCAGTGGAATTGAAACAACGCAATTAAAGGCAGAGTACTGCCATGGAGACCAGTTTAAAATTTTTCCACATTTTGTAATACTCTAAGTTATCCCCTTTATAATATTGTATCTTATAATAAATAAATAATTATTCATATTACTTCACCATCCAGAATTAAATACATTGACAATACACTGAAAATACTGGTTGGAGAAATTATAGAGTTAGTGTATAAAACTCAGTGTTATTATCCCTCAAGTTATGAATGTATTCATTTTCTTTACACCAAAACTGGAGATTGAAATTAAAGATTGATAAAAGAAAGACTGTATAATTAATACTAGGAACTCATTACTGCAAGCTATTGTTTTGGCCAGTAGTTTTTTAAGACACTGAAATGGAATTTGAATTTTTTTAAATATGATTGGGATTTACAGGTATACTAAACTAAATGAATTTTAGTCCCCTGATTTGGGGCATTTGGTTATTACCAGCTAAAAACAGGAAGAATGTTCTTTTTAAGATACAAATATACATCGTGGGGTTTTACTACACTAATCATTTTTGTAAATGGGATAAAGGATTAAACTAAATTATTTTAATCCTTATATGTTTGTCTGATGAATTTTTTAAAGTACTGCCTGATAGCTATTATTATGGAAAGTGTCCTTTATAACAAATACTTTACTACATTGCTTGCAAAAAAATCAAGGTGAAGTACTACCCAAACTGAAATAACCTAGAGTAGGGGTGATCAACCCCCAGCCCACGGGCCACATCTGGCCCCTGCCATGTGTCTTACAGCCCACAGGGCTCCCCACAAGTCTGGCCCTGTGTGCTAGATCAGGCACTCAAGATGGCACGGGGACCTGATCCTCACATGTAAGGGAGAGGCTATCCAAGGGCCTGAATCCAGTGCACAGGGTAGGGCAGGGGACTGATCCTGGCTGGGTGGGGGCAGCATGGGGCCTCGGGTCCCGATTCCAGCAGGGGTGGGATGGCATGGGGCTTCACATGATTTGTGCGTGTGGGACCAGCTGAGGCCACACAGGGCCCAATCAGGATGTGTGCATCCAATCCTGGTGTGTGTGATTCAGTGTAATCTGTGGACCAGCCCCAAGATGCTCATCTGGCCCACAGGCCCAAAACATTGTGTGACACTTATCTAGGTAGGCTTGCTGGGACAGGTGCCATGTCTTTATTCTAAAGCATAATAGGTAATGGTTAGCAGGAGTGACAATGATGACGCTAAGTTAAAACCTCTTAGGTTGTCTTAATATTTCTCCTTCCTGATCCTATATTGTGCTTTTTATAGATTAGTGAGGGCTCTCCCATTTTGAGCCATGGAGCTCTGGACTGGCTAAATTTGGATAGAGATTTCATTTCTTCTTCTACCTATATCTTTTCTCCGCTTGAAAAAGAAAGGTAAGTTAGAAGATGTATTCACCTAGATGGAACATGTCTAAAACCAGGATCCATTTGAGCAAGAAATAAGATGCGTATAGAGCAAAAGCCATCATAATTTTATTTTTTTGCTTACATTTAAATAATGATACCCACCAAGAAACTACAGGGTAATTAATTTATCTTACCATAGTATTATAAAAATCACGAAGCAACATTAAAAAATAGTTTATTGAATGCCATGCATACCCATCCCACCAACAACTTTTAAGAAAGAAAAAAAAAGAGATAACAGTATTAAGATCATAGGAATGTTGGGCTAGCAGAGACTTCAAGGAAAGATCATCCCTGACTAAATCATCCCAGCCAAGTGTCTGCCTAACCTGTTCATGAAAATTTCCAGGGATGGAGATTCTGTAACTTCGCTAGGCAGCCTGTTCCTTGCTTGACCACCCTCATAGTCAAAAAATTCTTCCTAATCTCCAACTTAAATTTCCTCCACTACAGCTTGAGGCCATTGCTCCTAGTGCTGTCCCATACAACCACAGAGAAAAATCTTTCTTCATCCTCTCTATAATTGCCCTTTAGGTATTTGAAGACTGTTGTCAAATACCTGCTCAGTCTCCTCTTCTCTGGGCTGAATAACCTTAGTTCTTTCAGCCTTTTTCCAGTCTGTCCACAACTTTCTTCAAGTGTGAGGCCTGAAAGTGGACACACTATTCCAAGTGAGGCTTTACCAATGCTGAATAGTGTGGAAGAATCGTTTCCCTTTATTTGCAAGTGACACTCCTTGTAATACAACTTGGTATGCTTTTGGTTTTTGTGGGTTTTTTTGGTTTTTTTGGAACAAGAACACACTGTTGGCTCATATTCAGCTTATAGTCTACTGCAGGGGTGGTCAACCTATGTCATATCTGCCATGAGTAGCCCAGGCATCTTTTGTATGTGGCATGCAGCAGGCTGGGGAAGGTCAAGCAGCACAGCATATGATAGATCTATCATCTGTGAATTTGTCCAGTCCTGTTCTGAACCTGTCTATGCTATTTGGCTCTACCTGGGAGCACAGGACAGGAAGCAGAAAGCAGAGCAGGCAGGGAAAGGGGCTTGGAGTGGTACTCAGAGGTCACAGGGCTTTTGTGGCACACCTACCAAAAATGTTGGCTTTACTGGTATGCTGTAACCCCAAGATCTTTTTCTGAAGTACTACAACCTAGCCAGTAATCCCCCAGCCTGTTTCTGTGCATATAATTATTCCATCCCCAGTCCAGGACTTTGTACTTGTCCTTGTTGAATTTCCTCTCATTGATTATGGACCATTTTTTTCATTCTAATCAGGTCATTCTGGATCCTCACCCTGGACTCTAGAGGAGTGGTGCTTATGGTTGTGGCCCTGCTAGGCAGATAAATGGCCTGGGACCAGTCCACAGTTTGGGCTCTGGGGACCTATGCCACCACCACCTGACTGGTATTGGGCACTGGGAGCCCTATATTACTCCTGCCTGGCCAAGTTCAGACTACAGAGGCACCATGCCTACACCATCTCTGCCTATCCAGGATCAGGCTCTAGGGCCCTGTGTACCCAGCTTGGGCCCCATACCACCCTGCATGCCCCATGTAGCATAAAGAGCTAAAGCCCTCAGGGCTCTCCACAGTTCTGACCCATGGGTTGGGGGTTGAGCACCACTGCTCTTGAGTGTCTGCAACTCCAGCTGACCTGATATCCACAAATTTCCTAAATATAAATCAGTTCCATCATCCAAATCATTAATGATGTTGTTAAACAATCCTGGATGCAGGGCAGGCCCCCAGGGAGCACCACTTAATACCTCTTCCCAAGTAAACATTGAGCCATTGATGACCACTCGTTGAGCATCATGATCTATTCAGTTCTGTGTACATGTAACAGTACTTTCATCTAATCTCTGTTTCCTTAGCTTGTTAATGAGAATGTTGTGGGAGACTGTCAGAAGCCTTGCTCAAGTCAAGGTATATCACATCCTCTGTTCACTCCCCATCCACAGAGTCTGTTACCTTCCAATAAAAGGAAATCCAGCTGGTCAGGCATGACTTGCTCTTGGTGAACCCGGCTGTTTCTGATCGCCTTGGGTACCTATACACTAGCAGCGAGGCTGCTCCAATGCATTGTAATTACAGTGTGTTGGAGCAGACTTGATTAACTGAGTGCACTGGAATATCATAATTACTGTGCTCCAGCAGATTCCAGCATCTTATGTATCAGCATCCCCGTGCTGAAGAATAGAGGTGGGGGTGCCTTAACTAAAGCTTATTCAATGAGCTTTAGTTAAAGTGCCCTTGCCACCATTTTTCAGCATAGGGATGATGAATACTCAAGATGCTCTGGGTGCTTTAATTAGAGTGGCTCTTGGAGTTGCTCTGATTAAAGCACCTGCCCATACTCCCAGAGCATGTATATAAATGCCGCTTGTTTTTTTCCCCCCGGTGCTTCAGTGCAGATTACATGAGGACCTGCTTCATGATCTTTCAGATATCAAGGATAAACTGAAATGTCTGTAATTCCACAGATCCTCTTTCTTCCCTTTCTTAAAGATAGGTACTATATTTGCCCTTTTCTAGTAATTCAGGACCTCACCTGGCTTCCATGAGTTCTGAAATAGGATAGCCAATTGCTCTAAAATTACCTCAGCTTACCCTTGGGTGCATCCCATCTGGTCCTGCTGACTTGAAAGCATCCAGCTTCTCTAAAATAATACTCAACCTGTTCTTCCACTACTGTAGTCTGTTTGTCATCGTCTCTTTTTTTTTGCTGACAACTGCACTCATCATCTGCTAGCTGACCTTATTTGTGAAAACAGAAATAAAAGGCATTACATGCTGCAGCCTTCTCTGCATCCATACCTAGATTGCCTTCTGTATTCCATAAGGGACCTATCGTTTTTTGTCTTCATCTTGATATACCTGTAGAATCCCTTTTTAAATGCCTTTTATGTCCCTTGCCAGTTGCATCTCAAATCATGCCTTGGACTTCCTAATTTTCCCCCTGTCTGCCCTTGCAATATGCTTATTCTTCTTCCTGGGAATATGACCCAATTTTTACTTTTATAGGATTCCTTTTTAAATTCTAACTTGCTGAAGAAATTGCTGTCTAGCTAGGTGGTTATATTACTGCATTTCCTTTTCTTACATTTCATCTGTATAGCTTTCTCCTGTAAGATGATGGGAAGAATGTAAGAGCATTGCTTGGGCATGCAGGGATAAAGTCAGGAAGGACCAAGTGAAATTGGAGTTGCAGCTAGCAAGGGATGTGAAGAGTAACAAGAAGGGCTTCTACAAGTATGGTTGGTAGCAAGAGGAGAATCAGAGAAAGTGAGTCCCTTACTGAATGGGAAAGGCAACCTTGTGACAAAGGATGCAGAAAAGGCTGAAGTGCTCAATGCCTTTTTTGCCTCTGTTTTCACAGGCAAGGACAACTTCCAGATTGCACTGGGCAGCACAGCTTGGAGAGGAGGTGAGCAGACTTCAGTGGTGAAAGAACAGGTTAGGGACCAGTTAGAAAAGCTGGACGTGTACAAGTCCATGGGGCTAAAAGGAATGCACCCGAGGGTGCTGAGAGAGTTGGCTGATGTCATTGCAGAGCCATTGGCCATCTTCTTTGAAAATTCTTGGTGATCAGGAGAGGTCCCAGATGATTGGAAAAGGGCAAACACAGTGCCCATATTTAAGAAAGAGAAGAAGAAGGATCCAGGGAACTACAGACCAGTCAGCCTCACCTCGGTCCCTGGAAAAATAATAGAGCGTGCCCTTGCTGCCACAAAGGTTAATGGCATACTGGGCTGCACTGGTAGGTGTGTTGCCAGTAGGTCAACGGAAGTGATTTTCCCCCTCTATTCAGCACTGGTGTGGCCACATTTGGAGTACTGTGTTCAGTTTTGGGTTCCCCACTACAAAAAGGATGTGGACAAATTGGAGAGACTCCAGCGGAGGTTGACAAAAATGGTGAGGGGGCTGGGGGACATGACTTAAGAGGAAAGAGTGGGAGAACTGGGTTTATTTAGTCTAGACTAAGAGGGGATTTAATAGCAGTCTTCAAGTGGTGGCAGATGACAGAACAGGGAGCAACGGTTTCAAGTTGCAGCAGGGGAAGTTTAAGTTAGGTATTAGGAAGAATTTTCTCACTAGGAGGGTAGTACAATACTGGAACTAGTTGCCCAGAGAGATGGTGGAAGCTCCTTCCTTGGGGTTTTCAAAACCTGGCTAGACAAAGGTTTGGCTGGGATGATCTAGTTGAGGCTGGTCCTGCTTTGAGCAGCGGGTTGGACTAAATGACCCCTGAGGTCCTTTCCAACCCTTACTTTCTATCATTCTATGACTTAGTACTAGTTAGTTTACTAATATAAATACAAAAAGATGTAAAAAGATAACATCACAGTTGCAAAGTCAAACACTGAAAAATTAGGAAATGCTAGAATAAAGAGTTCCCAGACAAGCTTAATTTGATTCCTTGCGAGTATGCATTATGGCACAGTCTTTAACTGATGCACTGGACTTTAAAATTTTTAGACAGGAATGTGTAGTATTATACCAAGTAATGTTCTTTTTCCAATTTACATTGAAATCATATAAGATGGTCAGGGTATCCTCCATAGGTTTCCTTTATAGGAGGAAATGTCCTTCTTATTTGTGAACACATTTTCTGTTACTAGCTGTGTTTGCTGAAGAAAACCATCAGTCTCTTGTTTCTTTTGAGCAGTTGCTCTCATTATTCTTCCTTTTCAGTAGGTAATAATAAGCCCTGCTATTGTTGTCATTCATTGTATGTCACTTAACCTTTCTGGATAGAGCAGGATAGTAATATAATCATCATCATCATCACCATCTTATTCCAAACAAGTGAAATTGCTCATATCCTTTGAAATACAACCCTGGCTAGAGATTCAATGCAAGATCTATAATACAGAAGTAAATGAAATTTACATACTCTATAGGTCCTGTAATGGTCCACTGTAAATGGTGAGACCTCATTAGACACTACAGACTATATCTGAGATAACAGTATAAACTAATACATTCTTTCAATATAATTATTTCCACAGTCAAGAATGTTTAGACCATGAGGAACACCAATGTTCTGCAGAAGTGAGGTAAGAAAATAATTCAAAGTTAATATAAGATAATTCCTTATGTCATGAGGCCTGCACAGGTCAAATGTGTATGCAAAACTCACGCAAACCTAGATCTATGAGTTTTAGGGAAATAGATGTGGGCATACTTTCATCCAGCTTCTCCCTTTGTAACTGAATTGCTATATATAAGCTAGGTGTGGGAATGCTCCAAATTTCTCAAAGGAATAACATTGTGGTTTCCTTACAAAATATTGTAATCATCTAATATGGTTTCTTAAACATCTTCATCATAAATTAGAGTAATTAGGTCCATGTCAAAAGTGTGCTCATTTTCTGGCCCTACTAGCTCTGCAAACCCCACATTCCCCGTGGGCTTTCTCTGTAGCAGAAGGTAATCTGGACGGTGGGATTTTTATTTGACCTCATCATGTTGAAATAAGGATCATTTACACTTGAATTACAGATGAGATAATACATTTAGGATGCTATTCTTATTTCACATTTTATACTCTAAGCTTACCAGGTTTATTAAACTCAAGTTACAAGAGAGACTAATCTAACATTCTGATTCAGAGCTGTCCAACTGGCGGCCTGTAAGAGTTCATGTGCAACTGCTCCTACTCAGAGGCTTCTATTTAGCTGCTGCCCCCCTTATCTTTCTGGCTGTTGCCACTGCAGCTGGGGTCTCGACTCCCCCTACCATTCCATCAGCTTTCACTTCCTTTTCCTGCCCCAAGGAGTGGGGTGGTGCAGCCCACGGTGCCGGGAGAGTGAGTGGCATAGCTCAGTGGTGTCAGGGTGGGGAGAGAGCAGGTGGTGTCTACATATGCAGTGTGTGGGAGTTACAGCCTGGGAGCTTGTGGCTCACACAATTGCAGCCTGGTGCGACTTGCGGGTCACGTAGTCTCCAGCCACGAGACGTTGGACAGCACTGTTCTAATGATTCCAGTCTCAAAGCTGTACCGACCAATTGTTTTTGTATTTTTTCATGCTGGAAGTACAAACCTATTGCAACTGGTCCCACAGATCTTGGCCATGTGTTCTCAGGATTCTTTTTTAGTCAAACTGTAAATGAAAACACTGCTTTAGAGGACAGGGAGGAAAGGATGCAGTAGTCCAGATGATGTGAGCTATGGATTCAAGTCCTCAAATAATTCCAATTGGTGTAAGACAAAAACATTCCTGCTAAATGAAATTCATCCTGCACCAAGTCTTCTTTAAGTTCTATTTTGAAAATTCAACCAGATCTCTAGCACTATATAGGCTTCTCTTGGAGGAGAGCAAAACTGCTTCTAATGTTAAATTCAAATTTCAAAATTAGGATTTAATCTGCAAATTCTCTTTAGAGTTGCGTTGTTACCTTGCTGTTTGCTTGGCTGCACTACTGACCTAACCAGGAATTCTGCAGCTCAGATTTGTATCCCTAATTGTGAGCCAGCTAACAAAAAAAAAAAAAGTCTTTAAATGGACACAGATCATTGAACAATATTACTACTAAAACAGGGGTTATAAAGAAGGTCTTGATCATGCTGATACCCTTCATCCCATGTTACATGTAAATATGAAACCTGATTCTGGTTATGTCAGTTTTGAAAATAATAATAATACTGTATTTACTCAAATATAAGATGACACTGAGTATAAGACAACCCCACAATAATTAGATTCTATATATAGAAAATTTATAAGTTTGTTACCATTTTTCAGGTATAGAAGCTAATATTTGAAGGTTTGCTTTGAATTTCCCCCATCACACTACTACAACATGGACTATAAATCTCAGGGATCAGGTAGTCCCCTTGCCCTTTGCTCCACCTCCAACATCTTCCCCCTTCTTGGTGTCTCTGAGCACATGGAAGTAAGGGGTAAATCTGAAAATACTGAACTAGAAATAAACATATATGTAGTAATTTGTAGGGGTGTGCAAAGTGGGCTGTATTCAATTTGGATTCAGCCCGAATTGGGGACAGTGATTCAACTCATTGATTTGGATCACTGTCCCTGATTTGATTCAGCCGTATCTGAATCTGAAGATTCCATGCTGATTCAGAGAACCAGCAATTCGGACATAGATGCAGCTTTAAATGTTTTTTCTATATACTTCAAGATACCAGGTGTAGCTCATGAACCCTAAAATGCTGGGGTAGATATAGCGTCCCACAGGAGCATGGGGGGGGGTCCCCCACATGCTCGGCAGTGGCCCCAGAAGTGAACCAGAAGTACTTCCGATCCACTTCTGAGAGTGGGGGGGGCACGCCCCCTCCCTGGTTCAGCTATCGGCCACAGGGGGACCCTAGACCTAGGAGGCACCAGTTGCCAAGTGGACACGGGGCGGGGGGGCCCTGTGTGTTCTCCGGTGGACCAGGAAGTGGACCAGAAGTGCTTTTGGTCCATTTCTGGGTCTGCTGCCAAGCATGCTGGGGATCCCCCTGTGCTCCTGTGGGATGCTCCATCTGCCCCAGCATCTCAGCATTGACAAGCCACCTGGTACCATGAGGTATGTAGAAAAAACATTTAAAGCTGTCTATGTCCGAATTGCCGAATCTCTCCAAATCGATTCGGAGAGTTCCAATTCGATTTGGAGAGATTAAAGGGTCTCCTAATTTGATTTGGATTTGGAGATTCAGCCACCAAATCGGGCCAGATCTCCACTGAATCGAATCAGGGACTGAAGCTTTGCATGGCTCTAGTAATTTGCATAAAATTACTACAGATACCCATTGACTTAGTTCGTCCAGAATTGATGCATTTTTGAAACTGATGCAAGTTTTAGCATAGGTACTCTATAAACAAACTTTTGAGCATTTCAAACCGTAGTGACCCCACAGCTCAGAACTGCTCAGTATGTGTGCGTACTCCAGATACTGCCTTCCTCCCCCACACCAAAAAAAAGGTTCATGAGCTAATTGTCCCTTCACTCCTGAGTAGAACTGGGCGTTCCTGTCATGAGTCCTGGGATCCTCCAAAAATTTATATGAAAATGAGCTATTGGACAATCTGGTTTGGCTCCACCTTATAGAGGGTGGGGCCACACTAATTATATGCGACAGTCTGAGAGGTGGGGGTCACAAAAGGATTCTGGGTGATCTGTTTGGGGGCCCATTTGGTGATGTTTGCCAGATATTTAAGGCTGGTAAAGAAACAGGAATCATAGGAAATGGGAGAGAAATATGGAGCTCAGCTGTGGGAATGAAAAGGAAGTAAAAATATATGCAGTGTAGTGGCTCACCATGATGTGAAAAAGAGTTGGTATTGAGGGGGGTGAATGTAGCTATTTTATTGCATTCCTTGTAGCTTACTCAAGTGGATTGTACTGACATATTGTTGTGGTGGGTTCCCATCAGCATAATCATTGTAGCATTTTTGGTACTCAGGAGACGGTATCTGGGTTGTCTGGTCCTGAAGGCTTGGTGCCAGTTCCTTGTGGGGGGATTACCCACCTGTTTTTTAAGGACTACAAAAAAAGAGGATTCTCGTCAGTATATTTGCCCAACGTGGGCTGTGTGTTTTATAGTCATGTTCAGTGCTGACTGCATTTAGGCAACTTCATAGTTGCTTTCCATTATTGAGCTTGTGCTGCTTTTGGCAATAGTTTAATGATAGACAATGTACTTAATGAGGTTTTATTTGTATGTGAATGTAAGATGAGGAGCTTTTACCCCCATGCTGATGGGCTGGAAAGGGGAACCTCCTCTTGTATCCAAGTAAATATAGTATATAGGGTCTTCATGAAGTCCTTGTGCACTTTTAATAACTTAGGTTGTGCACAGGGACTTCATGAAGACCCTGTATTATTGCCAGTGGAGCCATAGCAACATAAAGCTTGTGGGAGACTAAGATTGGACCTAATTAAAAAGAATTACACACCAAACGAAACCACATACCACTGAGGTAAGATCTGTGAACATACATTGATGATGCATTTTTAGCTTCCTGCAGAAATAATACATTTATACATACTTCTAAAGTACCGCTATCAAACTGTTGCAAAAAAAAGAAGCTAAAACTGATAATAAGACCTTTACTTCATAGAAAACTTCAGTGGCATTAGTTCATTTAATTTAAAAGGGGAAAGAAACTGAATAAATGGCTTATGTACAGACACTGTAACCTAGACTTGTGTCTTACTCTGTTGCAATGTGGTTAACGTGGAGAATTTCCTATTAGTATTTGTAAAATAATGCTTTTTAATAACAGCATTCAATTGATGATCTAAGTGTGCTTCACAAATATAAACTGAATAAGCCTTGCAGCATCTCTGTAGTATTTAAAGGATAACTTCTGAAATTCAGTCACATCTAAAATGGAATGGAACAGTATAGCTTGCAAAATGCTTAAACAGACCAATTTAGTGGAGGAAGTGAAGAACACTGTATCCGGGTGAACTCACAGGGGGAAATGTTGGGAATAGAGTGTAATTCCAACTAGCATAGGAGTTTTTAAGGAAGTCGGTGTTATGTCTTCAGCAAAAATATGTTGTGTCTTGAGTCAATGGAGTCTTCATTCTGAACTTGAGACAGAAGAAGCAGGATAAACTTAATCTCCTAAACAATGCACATCTCTGATTGCTGACCAGAGAGGTAGGCCTGTTTTATAGGGATGCTTTGAGGAATTGTTGCTCCTGACTACTGCTGTTGGATTTTTTGGAAGTAGCTGAAGTTAATTGTACACTTAACCATGCAATCACATTAGTCAGTAGGATTTTTTCTTTCCCTTTTAGACATACCAGTTTGTTAAATACCTAAACAACTTTGTTGCATCATGGGTGGCTCCCCTTCTGTACTTTTCATAGATTTCATAGACATTAGGGCTGGAAGGGACCTCAAAGATCATCAAGTCCAGCCCTCTGCCCCAGGGGCAGGAAGTCAGCTAAGGTCAAAGGACCCCAGCAAGATAAGCATCCAAGCATTTCTTGAAAAAGTCTAGAGTAGGTGCCTGCGCCACATCTGGAGGGAGTCTATTCCAGGTCTTGGGGGGCTCAAACAGTAATGAAATTTTTTCTTATGTCCAGCCTAAAA